ATTTGACAATAGATTAAGAAACTTCAATGGGACAAGTTCACCAGACACAACATTAGACACAACCTTAGTAAGTGAACTTCAAAATTTGTGTCCATCCACAAGTGATGGAAACAACACATCCCCACTTGATAGAAATTCCACAAATTTATTTGACAATCATTATTTCAAGAATTTGATTAATGGAAGAGGACTTCTTGAATCAGACCAAATCTTGTTCTCTAGTGATGATGCTATAACAACAACAACAAAAACCCTAGTTGAGACATATAGTAATAGCTCTAAGTTTTTCTTCAATGACTTTGTTAATTCCATGATTAAGATGGGAAATACTAGTCCTTTAACTGGATCGAACGGTCAAATCAGGACGAACTGTAGGGTTGTTAATTAATTTGAATAATCAGTATGTAATACTGTGTTACATTGTTCGAGCACTCCAAAATGATGTTGTACTTGTGTCAGATCCTCCAACGTACACTTGCCAGTATTTTTGAAGAGTTTGAGTGACATAGTTAGTATGTACTAGTATAAGTTGTTGTATTGTGAGGTATAAGTATGATATATGTTGCTTTTGGACCTCTTAAAAATATTGTCACACCAATATTGGATCTGTTATAAATATATAACTTTTGGATGATCCGCCACATATCTGACAGTATTTTTAAAGGGTTTGAGCACTACATATAGTTATTATGTACTAATATAAGTTGTTGTATCGTGAAATATATGATCTTATATTGAACTTTATGAAGAAATTGTAGTTTTCGTATTCTCTTTATTTTCACTTTTGTCATAACATTTTAGAATTTATTGAGAATATAATTAAGTAAATAGAGGTATGTTAATACTCTAACTTAAGTTTTTTTTAGTGAAATGGTCATACACTTCAACATGATAGTGAAGCAAACAAAGTCTCTAGGTTCGAGTCTCATGTACTCCATCATGAGCTTTTACATGAGATAAAGTCACACACATTAACATTAGAGTAAGCAAAGGTCGTCCTGAATTCAGGTCTCACTGTCACCCATTATTCAAAAGAATTTCCACGTCGTAGTTGGCCATAATAGATTACAATTAAGCAAATACATAATTCAATCTAATTCAGTAACTTTCTGTCCAAAATATTATTCTATAAAGTTGTGTCTAAATATGTTACTACCAAGAAAAGTAAAAATTCAAGGGCCAAATCTGCAAAATCAACTAACCTGATCTCTAGTTTCATTAGAATTGGGCTAGAAATGAAAGTTATCAAGAATTGGACTTAACTTAATGGGAAAAATTTCAAAACAACAATATTTTAGCTTTTAATGGGACTCCTTAGCAATAGTTTCACTATTTATTTAAAATGTCAATATTTTAATTTGTTAAGGATTGAGTTATGTATTTATTTTATTTTGATTAATTTGAAAGAATACAAATAATTAATAACTGAATAGAGAAAATCATGGAACAAAAAATTTCAAAAAAGGTAAAAAAATTTTGAAGTTAACATCAGTTACGTTTTTGAAAGAGCATATGTTGCCATTTTCCTTTCTAGCGTTTTTTTCTTTGTTCTTAAGAATTTCAATTTTTTTTTTGAAAATAGTATTTTGTATTTTATATCTTATATGAGTGGAAGTGTTGGAAAATTTCTAATGCCCTCTGTTTTGGATATTTAAATGTTTGAACTTCTTTGAATATGTGTTCATCCGAAATGTATTCGAATACCTAATGATATGTATAACTAATTTAAAATACAAAACATGTTGGTATTGATTTATGATGAATACAACTCTTTGGCATTCTAGTTCAAGTACAAAAATAAAGGCAGTTGTGTAGTATATACCAAAATATAAATACAAATTAGTTGTAAATCGAAATGATATTGAAAAATACAGTTGCGATGAATACATAGAATAAGTTTATTCAAAATAAATTGTATTTATATTTCAATATCCAATTTTGTTATATTATTATTTCACTTTAAATTTGCAGAAAGTATTTTCTAGCTTAGTTTTTATTTCAAATATCAGGTTGTATTTCAATATCATTTTGTATATCAAACGCAGAATGAATACCAATAAATTCGTATTCCCCTTCTTGTGATATATTCGTCGCACAATTTTATATATTATGTATTCATAAAACTATATTGCTTTAGCCAAATAAAATACAAAATATGTCTTACTAAGTTTGTATTTCAAATATCAGGTTGTATTTCAGTATGATTTTGTATTTCAAACGAAAAAATGAATACCAATAAGTTTTCATTTCCCTTTTTATAATGTATTTGTCACAATTCTATAAATTATGTATTCAATCATAATATATAGAATTGTGACGAATACATTATATACCTATTTAAATTACTACAAACTAAAAAAGAAATACAATATTTTAAAATAAAAATACAAATGATGAGTAAAAGAAAAACAATTGACAAACAAAAATTAATATGAATACAATTGTGGTATGAATACAATTTTGTAACCTTCTTATTTGACTTTGTCTTTCTTCTTCTTCTTCATCTACTATGTTCTTTTTTCCGATTTTTTTCTATCAAAATCGAATCTGAATCCGTATTCACTTGTGCATTAGTAACCCTATAAGCAAAATTCAAAATTATTAAATATGAATGTATAAAAAAATCAAACAATATATGATGTATGTGTGCTAATGTAGTTACTACAATCTACTAAATCTCAAATATGAAAACAAAATTTTTGATAATTTGAATTTCGAAATTATCAAAAATTAGAATGTATTAAATATCAAACAAAATAAACATACATATGAATTTCTAGATTCTCCAAAATCTGAAAAATTAAAAGAAAATCACAAAAAAAATTGAAAAAATTGAAAATCATAACTATTTGATGAATAACTAAACAAAATCACATAATAATTGAAAAATTCGACTGGAAATCCGTAATATATAGAATCGGTGATTTAAACATCAAATCAAAATAAATCAAAATGGATAATGAAAATTACCTTGCCAATAGAGAAATCTGGTTGAATTAATAAATAGATTTCATTTAACAATAAAGAAGATTTCTTGATGAACAACAATTTAGCACCTTGAAGAAAGATAAACTTGAAACGTTAAAGGTGGGGAAGACGTGAAAAGTGGGGAAGAAACGTGAATGGAGTTGAAAAAAGGTTAATGTGTATTGGTTTAATTTTTTTTCTTTAAACGGTTATTGATATATAATTTCGTCCAATATAGGACTTTTTCCATAAATAAAATTAATTTTAAATACTAAAATCTGAATACATATTATTTTATAAAAATATTGTCATTCTGCCATTTTAAATAAATATTTTAAAGTATTGTTATTTTGACTAATTATGTTAGGTATTATGACTTAATTGCTAATTTTCCCTAACTTAATTACTTGAATTATTCATGGGCTATCCAAAAAGCCCACTTACCACAAGAACATCACCTTGTTGAAGATGTCACGTCAGCACAGAAGGTGCCCAAGAAATGAAAGTTATCAAGAATTGGACTTAACTCAATTACTTGAATTATGAGAGCCCACTTACCACAAGAACATTACCTCGTTGAAGATGTCACGTCAGCACAAAAGGTGCTTAAAAGTATAGAAAAAAAAATTCAAGAGGGGGGATGGTAGGATCCTCATTAAATTAAGATGTCTCGCTAGAATTTCGATAAATTAACTAAATAACTATACCAAAAAGGAACAATCGATTAAAATTTTCTGACACCTAATTAGTTGATATCTCAAAGCGAGTATTAGATGCCGGCCCATGAAAAAAAGAAAATATCAATTCTTGAGAAGAGCTTTAATAATTGGGTTTATTATTTGTTTTTTTTTTAAAAGACCTAGATTTTAAAAAAGTCTTTTTTAAAATACAGTCTGGGTCAACTAGTCTTTGTGCTTTTTATTTTTTATTTTATATTATCTTCCAAGAAGTTGTATAAGTAATGACAAAGTGCTTTGTAACTTGTCAGAGGAGTAATTAGACGAGTGTGGGGGACATATTTAAATTTCATGGAACCATATCCGATAATATTTATTTAAATTATTTACATATACTTTTATAATAATACTTTTTCTTATTCACCAAATACCAAAAAGGTTACTTATTTATCAAGAATTGGACTTAACTCAATTACTTGAATTATTCATGGGCTATCCAAAGAGCCCACTTACCACAAGATCATTACCAAATTAAAGATATCACGTCAGCACAAAAGGTACCCAAAAATATAGAAAAAATGAATTCAGGAGAGGGTAATAAAACCCTCATTAAGATAAGATGTCTCTATGATTTTGATAAATTTATTAAACAACTACACCAAAAAGGAACAATCGATTTAAATTTTTTGACACCTGATTAATTGGTATCTCAAAGCGAGTATCAGACGCGGGACCATGAAAAAAAGAAAATATCAATTCTTGAGAAGAGCTTTAATAATTTGATTTATTATTTGTTTTTTTAAAAGACCTGGATTTTAAAAAAAAAGTATTTTTAAAATACAGGCTGGGTCAACTAGTCTTTGTACTTTTTATTTTTGATTTTATATTATCTTCCAAGAAGTTGTATAAGTAATGACAAAGTGCTTCGTAACTTGTCAGAGGAATAATTAGATGAGTGTGGGGGGACATATTTAAATTTCGTAGAACCATACCCGATAATATTTATTTAGATTATTTACATATATTTTTATAATAATACTTTTTTCTTATTCACCAAATACCAAAAAGGTTACTTATTTTTCTAAAAAATATTTTTCGCAAAATAATTATTTTTTTCAGTCTTCCTTTCACACTATTGTGCAGGACATGTTCCAAGAATTTAATGGAAACCACCAACTAACTTGTCTATAAGTACAAAAAGCAAAAAAAACAAAAACAAAATGAGGGGTAAAGTAATAAAGTCATTGACCCAATCACTCAAGTCTTTAAAAAAGCAAAAAAATATAATTGTTGAGAATCAATATATACCTTTAAAAAACCCACAAAAACTTCTAAGAATATTGTTCCACCACTTCTCTCTACTCTCATTTCCCATCTCTTCTTTCATCTCTTCTGATACTTCAAATCCTGAAACTGTCTCTCTGACTTCCCAACATGTCGGATTCACGTGCTCGTGATTGTGTCAAATTGATATTGAGTTTAGGCGTCACAGCTCTGGTCCTATGGTTAATTCTACGTACCACGAAGCCCAAATGTTCCATCGGAGATGTTTACGTGCAAGGCCTTGACAAATCAATCAACTCCAACAACAACAGGACGAATCGTGACAACCATATATCATTTCAACTAAATTTGAAGAATGAAATGAAGGACAAATCTGTTCGTTACGACAACATTACCCTTAGTTTTTACTATGGTACAAATATGAGTTACCCTCTAGGTAATTTTACATTTGATAAATTTAAACAAGGTAAAGATAAAGAAGCATCTAAAAGTGGCATGATTGAGGCACATAATATGCCATGGGATAATGCAATTAAGGCTGTTTCAAATAATTCTAAGGCAATTATTAGAGTTGACGTGAGTACTAAAATTAGGTACAAAATTATATTTTGGTATACTAAAAGACATCATTATTTTGTGGAAAATAAAGTAGAAATTGATGATAGTGGTAAATCTAGTGCACAACAAATTAGTTGTTGTTTTGGGATTTTTGGATTTTTATTATTTGTAATTTTGTCATTTTTACTTTAATTGTTTTAGGGTTCATGAAAAAGGTGAAGCATCTTTTAATTAATTAATTTAGTGCACTTTTTGTTATTCTTTCTTTCCAGGTTGTAAAGGACTTGCATTTATTAATATTCATATTTTCTTTTCTTTCAACAATTATTATTGGATGTATATAGTTCTTTTTATTTCTTTAATTATTAATTCGAATTTGTGTCACATACGATAATAAATCATTAATGGGCTTATATTGTTTGGATTGTTCATCATATAAATTTAAGGATTTGATAATATGAATTTGTGTGTGAATACAAATACTAGAATATGTACAATAAAATGTATATTGTTATTAATTGACATAATACATAGATGTGTTATTTAACTTAATTTCAACTAACATCTATACCTTCTAACTTTCAGTGTGTATAATTAGACACTTAAACTTGTATAAAATTGAATAGATAGACATGTTCATCTTATGTAGCATCATACATGACAATTTTGTGTCTTACGTGGAGTCTTACATGTATTATACCACATAGAATACGTATGTCTACTTGTACACATTCAAAATTGAAAGGCGTAGAAGACAATTGATGTCAAGTAGAAAGGTATATTTTTGTATTGTGTCTTATTAATTAAATGGAATATCTTATGAATAAAATATTATATGTTTATTAAAAAAATCAAATTTTATTGATTTTAGTTCAATAGTTAATTAATCAAAATATACAACTATATATATATATATACACGACATCGGAGCCCGTGCTAGCACGGGCCCAATATGTATCATTTTTTGTTTCAATTTATGTGACAAAAACAAAATTAAAGAGTTAATCAAAATAAAATAGTTTAAATTTTTAATTATTGTTAACTATGGTAAAATTTTTTTTATGTCTTTTAACATTCTAAATTGCTAATTATTGTTGTATGATAATATCTTTTACGCAATTTTGAAATAATAAAGGTTATTTCTTCTTTCTCAATTTATGTGGTACTAATAAAATTTTGAGATTCAATCAATTTTTTTTGTCTTTAAAATGTTCTATTGTTAATTATTGTACTTTCTAAGTAATTTTCAAATAATATATATTATTTCATTTGTCCAATTTATGTGTCACCGATAAAATTTGAAGAGTTGATCAGATCTGTTACATATTTTTATATCTTTTGAATATTTAAGTAAATAATTATTGTGATTTATAGTATTTTATACAATTATTTTAAAAAAATTAAACAACAAACAAAACGAATTCATCATAAGAAAATTACCAAATCATCCTTGAATACATCAATAATGGGTCCCACTTTTTGTTTAAAAAAATATGCATATTGGGAGGATATTTTTGTCCAAAGTGGAAATAGAATAAGTATAAAACATTAAAGTCTTTTAAAATTTTAAATTGTTAATTCTTATTGTATGATTTGTAATACTTTTACGCCATTTTCAAATAATAGAGGTCATTTCTTTTTTCTCAATTTATGTAGTACTAAAAAAATTTTGAGCTTCAATCAGTTTATTTTGTCTTTGAAATATTTCTAGCTGTTAATTGTAGATTAATTAGTTGTAGATTTTAATTAAGTTTGATTTTTAAAAAAAGAAAGAAAAAACTAAATGGAGCCGCCATACATCATACCACTATAGCTTATATTAATGAAATTTTTAATTTTTAATCATCCCTTAATCATGACTATAAATTAGGGTTCAAGTACATTGACATGCATTCACAACCCAACGTTTAGTCGTTAAAAGTCTAAATTCAATCGTTCTGAGTAAAAAAAAAAAACAATTGTCAAGAGTCGATAATAAAATCATGAAGACTAGACCTTATAATTTTATTTTATATTTCCAAATTGTGATTTTCTTGGTGTTATTTGTAGGTGTGAATTCTCAACTAACACCAAATTTTTACTTTAAAACATGTCCAAATCTTCTTAGAGTTGTTCGTAAAGAAGTTCAAAGTGCAATCAAGAGTGAAATAAGAATGGCTGCTTCTTTGCTCCGTCTTCACTTCCACGATTGCTTTGTCAATGTGAGTTTTTATATTCGCTAACAGTATAATTTAACTTGTTATAATATAAGACCGTTTTACCTTATTTCAAAGTTATTATTAGATCAAATACATATAAAAGGGCTTAAAGTTAGCACGAGTTGACATTTAGACATCTTTACTCATAAAAAATGTATCATGTGATTAATTAACACCCATAGCTCACATGACTCGAATTAACCCGAGAAAGATATAATATCATATGGAGATAATAACATTGTTACTCCAAGACTCCCTTTTTTAATATCTTTATTTCAATATTTTTTTAATTTAAATTATGTATACTAATAGCTAATTTTTTTTAAAAACCTATCAATGCAATTTAACTGGCTAAACTGAGTTATCTATACGCTGTATTGTATGTCAATTTAGTTTCATGGTTTGAAAAATTTATACACCGTTAATGTACAAAACTCAAGCTCTTCAGCTGTCTACGAGTTAATTAATTAACTTCTATATACTGACTCAATATAGAAATATAAAATGTAGTTACATGAAATTAACTATTCATAAGAAGTGGATAATTAATAACAAAAAACTAAACAAATCATCACTTGTTACAACATGTAAAAATACATTGATAATTAAAATGCAACCATTAATGCTTATTTTTTAAAGATAATTACGTCCCTAAACGTACTTCAACCAACTAGATTACAAAATATGTATAAAGTGTATAGATTGTGTAATCTTTATACTAAATATGCGCATATATTATATATAATATACACAATATATACACTGATTTTTCTACCATATTGATAAATTAATTAAACGAACCATATATATCTATAACTTTTCCTACTAATTTAGATTACAAAATATGTATAGTGTATCAATCATATTTTTTATGCTAAATAAACATGTATATTATATATAGTATACATACACATACACAATGTATACACTGATATTTCGATCATATTGATAAATTAATTGAATGAACGGTGTATATTTGTAACTTTTTCGACTAATTTAATTTAATAAAATTGTAGGGTTGTGATGCATCATTGTTGTTGGATGGAAATAGTTGTACAAGTGAGAAGTTTACTCCAGGAAATTTGAACTCAGCAAGAGGATATGAAGTGATAGACAATATAAAAACTGTTGTTGAGAATACATGTAGTGGAGTTGTTTCTTGTGCAGATATATTAGCTATAGCTGCAAGAGATTCAGTGTTATTGGTAAGATTTTTTTTACGCTATCAGTGTAATTTAACCTGTTATATATATAAAGTGATTTTCTTAATACAAATATAATTTTTTTTGTTAAAGCTATTGAGCCATCGAACTCGTAATTGATACTCTAGTTCTGCCTAGCTCTACATTTAGGTGAACTGATTATAAAGTGAAACGCTATTCTTGATTAATTTAAATTTTACGCACTAATTATGTAAATATATTTTTTATACGTTCAATGAATTTTATACTATAATAATAGGTTAATTATCATTTTTATCAAATAAATTAATATTTACAAGAAATTTACATGGACTTATGTCCCTAGTAAAAATAATCTAATTGTGTAAATATTTTACATTTTTTAAAGGTAAATTTATTTGATGTTTGATACTCGCTTTAAGGCTCTAACTAATCTTGATTATTTCCTATATACATGGTGTCTAATACTTGCTTTACCAACAGAGTCCTGATTAATTCAGATTCACGCTTCCTAAGGCCCGTTAAACTAAGTAGCGCTTTCTATCATGATTTTTTCTCTTTTTTCCTTTTCAGCATATGAACTTGAGATCTTTAATTAAGAGTGACGGAATCCTATCTATCTCTTCAGACTAATTAATTTATTATTTATTTTTTCAGAGTGGAGGGCCATTTTGGAAGGTGTTATTAGGGAGAAGAGATGGATTAGCTGCTAATTTTTCTGGATCAAGTAATGGACTTCCAGCACCATTTGATCATCTTAATACAATTATTTCTAAATTCCAGGATGTTGGATTAAACTTAACAGATGTTGTGAGCCTATCAGGTAATATTCAAATATTTTTTTTACAAAAAAAAATAAAAATAAAATTATATACAATAATATATATAGTAAAGATATTTTTCTTATATTAGGAATGTAATTTATATATAATAAAAGGTTGTGTTTTAAGTGAATGAGAGAATCAGAACTTGCTAAAAACTTCGTTAACTCTTTTTTAAAGCAGGATTACTTATAATTTTTTTATTATTTGGTGACAAAAGTTGTTCGTCGTTTCTTTTAAGTGAAATAGTAGACTTGTTGGAGGCGTATGCAAGATGGGGTCACCGGGTTCACGTGAACCCATGCTCCCCTCCCGAAATCATATATAGTAGTGTTATATTTTTAATTTTTTTGTTAAATATAGATGTGTGAACCCACACTCGAAATATCATATAATGTGACGATGATTGAGTGCATCTCTTAGTGAGGTCAGAAACTTGAATTTTATATCTATCTTGTTTTATATTTCTTTCTAAAATTGAGTAACACATCTCTAAGTGGTAATTGATAGCAATTTTGGTGTTTTAATTAATTAAGCATTTCAATTTTGGACCTATAATTTTATAATTTTAAAATTTTAATGATTTTCAATGATAAAAACCTAAATGTCAAACCGATTAGATCCACCTTAATTTTCATAATAGTGCACCCATCATCCCAAAATTCTGGATACGCATCTACTTGCGCTAACCCGTTTTAAATGTTCAATTGAATATTATTGTAGGTGCACATACAATTGGATTAGCAAGGTGTACAACATTTGACAATAGATTAAGAAACTTCAATGGGACAAGTTCACCAGACAACATTAGACACAACCTTAGTAAGTGAACTTCAAAATTTGTGTCCATCCACAAGTGATGGAAACAACACAACCCCACTTGATAGAAATTCCACAAATTTATTTGACAATCATTATTTCAAGAATTTGATTAATGGAAGAGGACTTCTTGAATCAGACCAAATCTTGTTCTCTAGTGATGATGCTATACAACAACAAAAACCCTAGTTGAGACATATAGTAATAGCTCTAAGTTTTTCTTTAATGACTTTGTTAATTCCATGATTAAGATAGGAAATATTAGTCCTTTGACCGGATCGAATGGTCAAATCAGGACGAATTGT